GAAAATAACTGTAGTTACAAGATGGGCATTATAGCCAGTGAGTGTGTTTGTGTATTTCCATGAATATTATAAGGCTTCATTTGACATCATCACGGCTCGGGAGATGTGAGCAACAAAATATAAAGGTTACCTTGGAAAGCATTGTTCCTTAGGAAGGAACAAAATCATATTACAGGGATCTGGTTTCAGTTCCTTTCAAAGAGAGTCTTCCTACCTCACTAGGATTCTAAATCCATTAATAAATAGAAATAAATATTGAAAAACTATATATCTCCCATTTTGCAAATTATAGTTTGATTGATCTGCTCTAATCCCTCAAATTTCTACTCAGATTCATGTAACTTCTGTTTTCACTTCTACAATATCACTACTCCTACAAATACCTCCGCTACCAACCACCCACCAGCATTTCAGCTAATAAAAACAAAATCTAGGGATGTCTGGGTGGCTCAGTTCGTTGGGCATCTGACTTCAGCTCAGGTCATGATCTCATGGTTCGTGGATTCAAGCCCCACGTTGGGCTCTGTGCTGACAGCTCAGAGCCTGGAACCTGTTTCATATTCTGTATCTCCCTCTCTCTCTCTGACCCTCCCCTGGTCACGCTGTCTCTCTCTATCTCTCTCTTTCTCACAAATAAACATTTTTTAAAATAGTTTATTGTCAAGTTGGTTTCCATACAACACCCAGTGCTCATTCCCACAAGATGCTGGCGAGGATGTAAACAAAACATTTTTAAAAAATTTAAAAAAAATCTAAAAGTTTCTGTCTTGCTGTGACAAATACCATAGACTGAGTGGCTTACACAACAGACCTTTATTTCCCCATACTTCTGGAGGTTAGAAGTCTAAAATCAAGGTGCCAGCATGGTCAGGTTCTAGGGAGAGCTCTCTTCGTATCTTAGAGATGGCCACCAGTTCACTGTGTGTTCACATGACTTCCTTGTGGGGACACAGGGTAGGGATAGGGCGGGAGAAAGCAAGCCCTCTGGGGCTTCTTCTTATAAGAGCACTTATCGCGTCCTGAGGGGCCCACCCTCATGACCTCATCTAAACCTAATTACATCCCAGAGGCCCCCATCTCTAAATACTGTAATGTTGGGGGGTATGAAATCCAACGTGAGAACTTGGGAGAGATCGAATTTAATTCATAACGGTGTTCAAACTCCAAGAGTTTCAGATACGAGTGTGTGGAAAATGCTTCAAACACATATGCTAGATCCTTTCTGCAGACCGTCTTCGTAAATCTTCAAATAGCAACTTCATGATGTATATTGATATTAATTTATAGAGAAGGAAGTTAGGTCTTAGAGAAGTTAAAATAACTTCTGCAAGACAAGGCTTTTAAAAAAATAGCAGTATGTGCTCTGAAAATCAAGACATTCTGGCAAAAAACGATGTTCTTGGGCATTACAGTAGAATATCCTCAATTTCAATACAAATGTGTGGGATTTATACTAATGACTGAAGGAAATGATTCATCTGGGGCAAAAATTAGTTCACACTGTATTGTAGAAGGAGTAATTTTCAGAAGAGAGTAAATGGATGCATTTTTTTGTTGTCATTCAGCTGTGTATTAATAAATGTAAATAGCCATATTCAAATATGGTTACTAATATTCAAACCATTGTGAAATTAACAGGAACTCACTTGCAGTCAACAGAGTATTTAGTTTGTTAATATTATATATAACATAATAACCGTAATTATTAGAGTTATCTGAGATCTTTAAAAGTATGTTGGTACAAGCAATGCTTTTTAAAATATATGTAAATATCCATAATGTTTATCGATGTGCTGACCAAAGTCTGCTGCTACGGGTATTTTATCTGTTTTGCATTATACTGCCTCTGTTAGTTCATGACTCCTCTGTAGCCTTACAGAGGCATGAGCTGTGTATATTTCATTTCTATTCACTGTCACCATGATCATGTGATATAGGTATTCTTTTCCACAAGCTAAGAGATGGGTACATGCTCAGAAGTTACATGGCTTTCAAAAGGGACTGAGCTGGAATTCCAAGTCCAGTCTTTATGGTTCCATATTCCGAGTTTCAGAGATCATTAATATTTTTATTTTTATTTTTAAAAATGTTTATATGGTGCTCTGATTGTTCTGACTGCAGAATATTTGGCTCTGAATATTCTGAATCTGAATTTTGTATTAGTAAAAGAAAGTGTCCCTACATGTGACTTTACCGTGTGTGGCAAATTGCACTTTGTAAGTTAAAGGAGGTAGCCTTGTTAAGAAACTACTGTGCATGAGGATGTGGGCCCATCCTGTTGAGTCTTCCCTCTGTCCTACGAGGTGCCCTTCATTACGGGACATTGAATGATTATTCTAAGGTTGCACAGCTGGTAAATGGCAGAGCCATGATGTGAACCCATCTGTTGGAATCCACCACGTTGGGTGAGGTCATTGCAAGGATGCTCCCACCAGCTGACCTGAAGACCAGACTGGGGAACTGTCCCCTGTCCTTGGAAGGTACCTTCCACGCACGGAACATGTAGGCAGACCCGTTTCAAACAGAGTCTTGAGCGAGCAGTGTGTTGTTGAGGTCACCTGGACTGAATATGTGACTGAACCCCGTTAAGGCTTCTCTGTGAACTTTTTTAAGATTCAGCCACCGTGTGGTCATCCAAGACAAGCATTGTATGTGAGTTCCCGTGCTCGGTGAACCTGCCACCTACCGACCTGGGGTGGCCTGCCTCTTTCTTGGGTCTCTCCTGGCCCAGATTTCACCCAGGGAACTCCCAAATTTGCAAACTAACACAGAATTTAATTTATTGTCCACTATACCAAACTGCCGTTTCTTGTATGTTCGCATTTTCTAAATTTATTACCTTAAATTTACTTAAAATAGAAAGACTTTTTTAAAGTTAAAAAAACAGAATCTATAATGCTAAATAAACCCATGTAGAATTGAATTGGAGCTAAAGAAACCACCTGCTGATATTATAATCAAAACGGACAATTTTTTATAGTACGTTACTGTGAGGGTGGAAATAAATAGGTAGCTGGAACACAACGGCCTCACCCCAAGTGTGTAGGAAGGACACCAGGAGACCTGAGGGGGTGATGTAATGTCCTATTTCCAGGTGTGTGGTTAGGAGTCATATGACACAACAGGTGTAGTTCAGTCAGGTCAGGAGGAAGACGTATGCATGTGTGCCGAAGCTCAGAGTTGTCCTTCAGGTGCGTTTTGAAGCTACTAGGAAGAAGCTAAAAAGGGAGCAAGAGTCAAGTGGAAGTGTGTGCATTGTTGTTCTGTTTTTAAGAATGGTCTTCCACGTGATTGGTCAAAGAGTGCCTTGTAACGTGGGAAGCACTGTCATCTAGTTAGTAATGAACCGTGAAGGCTCCAAAAAAGCTATATTATTTGGCCAGTATTAAAGAAGAAAAGAAGAGGGGAGAAGACAGGAGTGGAGAAGAGAAGAAAAGAGAAGAGAAAAAAGTAAAGAAAGAAAAAAAAGGAAAGAAAAGAAAAAGAAAAAAGCATAGTATAGCAACTTTGCAGTTTAAATAAAGAAATAGAAGAGAAATACAGCAATCTAAGTCTCTGATGTTTCCTTCTGTGCATTACTTTTTTTATTAAAAAAATTTTTAACATTTATTTATATTTGAGAGTGAGAGGGACAGAGCACGAGTCGGGGAGAGGGGGAAGAGAGAGAGGGAGACACAGAATCTGAAGCAGGCTACAAGCTCTGACCTGTCGGCACAGAGCCCAGCGCGGGGCTCAAACTCATGAACCATGAGATCATGACCTGAGCCAAAGTCAGATGCCCAACCAGGTGCCCCTTTCTGTGCATTTCTTTATGGCTGTAGAGAATGTATACTCGAGCAAAACTGTGCTAAATGTTGGAATTTAAAATTGTGGCCAGGAGCACCTGGGTGGCTCAGTTGGTTAAGTGTCCGACTTGAGCTCAGGTCATGATCACACAGTTAGAGTTTGAGCCCCATGTTGGGCCCTGCACTGACAGCTCAGAGCCTGGAGCCTGCTTCGGATTCTGTGTCTCCCTCTCTCTGCCCCTCCCCTGCTTGTGCTCTCTCTCTCAAAAATAAACTTCAAGAAAAATAAAAATAAAATTGAGGCCAATTTGCATTTCTAAAACTCTCCAATTACTGAAAAGAGACTATTTTATTACTTTGCTGTAAACATACCTGGGGAGTGAAGGTGACAGAGTGGGCATCAGGTGACAAGCTAACAGTCGGTATTAATTACTCCTCTGAAACTGAGGTAAAGCCTAGGAATGATGGCTTGTAGGTGTGTGATACTAGTCATGCTTTTTTTTTTTACCAGAGCTGAAGAGATGTGTGCTCTCACAGAGGTGTGTTCAAATCCTAACACAGTCACCGTCTTTATCCTAAAATGAAGAAAACCTGCCTCATGTAGTAGAAATGAGGATTAAATGTGTCTATTAATTTTTAGATGCATTACACATGATACGCATTTAACGAATATTAGTTCCTATCAAGCATAAAAGAGTAAGACAGATGCTTCCATCATAAAAACACCTATCTCCCTGCTTTCTAAATTAATATGTGAGCATTTGGGCTTTTAAAGCAAATTCATCCTATAAGATAAGCATTTTTAAATGTGCTGATTTATGAAAGATAGAATATAGAGCATTATGAAAGGGCTTGATCTCATGAATCGTGACTCAGAGAAAACAAAATGGTCTGTCACTGGCATGCTGAGATAAATATTTTACATGGTATTGATACCACATGCTTTCATTAGATTAAAGATGATTGAAGCCAGCACGCTGACCACCTCATCGCATAAGATCTTTTCACCAAAAAATCATTTTTATATTAAATACTGTGTGTTTTCAACGTTTGCTATAATATTAATGAATACTCTGGTTAAGACTCAAAAAATGTTCTCTCTGTAAACACATTTAACAGAAATTATTTCCAGTGGGTTAATTGAATAGATAAGTTTCTGACATTCCAAAACTCCCGCGGAAAGGTAGATAATAAGATTCCTTCATTTGCTTTCAGATTTTCAGACGATGCTGGTTGGTTTTCAAGAAAGCTTCTAGTAAAGGACCCAGAAGGCTAGAAAAATTTCCAGATGAAAAGGCAGCGTATTTCAGAAACTTTCATAAGGTAAGTCACCGGGTTTGGAATCACTGGGGAATAACCAGACCCTTGGCAACCGCTCGTGGAGACATTTCTTTTGATAGATGAAATCCTCAGAGGCAAAATGCATGACCAGGATAGAATGTCCCTGTTCTGAGAAAATGCAAGTTATTTTTCTCCTTTATTTTAATCATCTGCTGTAAATGCCAGTGGTGCCTCTGCAAAATGAAAGACTCATTTTTATTGCTACTTTGCAAAATGAGATGACTCATAATTCAGCCACATCATTTCCCAAGGTGCTGAGTAGGCATTTCCCTCTGTTCAGGTTAATTGTGCATTTGTTACTTTGATTTAAACTGTGGGCAATATTTAGGAAATAAAACTTTTGAGGCAGGCGTTAGCAGTGCTAATGACTCTGCTAATGTGCATGGTATTTGCTGTTTATCGCTTTCGCAAGGAAGGATCATCAAATATACTCATGTGTGGAGATGTAGCCACACGTTCTGTGGATGAAATATCCATTTACCAAGAATTAAAAGTATGTAGGAAACAATCCTAGAATGATACTAAATATGCTACCTGAAGTTGTGTTTGGTGATAACATGAGAACACAGTTAAGTATTTGATAATTAAATGGCCAGAACTCATGGTCAGAACTCAGAACTGTGAAGCTGTATTGTCTGTTGACGAAATGCTTCAATGAGCCCAGTAAAAAATCTAATTTCTCATGGTTGGTAATGCAGAGTAGTTACCCTGAACAATGTAATGATTTTTGTGGAATTTATTTTATGTGATACATGGTCTAATTCTTCCTTTTATTAAAAATAGGATGCTTGCCAAGGGCTGGGGGCAGGGCAGGATAAGTAGACATAGCACGGAAGATTTTTAGGACAGTGAAACTATCCTTTACGTTACCATAATGGTGGATGTATGTCATCAGAAATTTGCTCAGGCTCATAGAATGTACAGCACTGACAGCGAATCTGACTATAAATTATGGATTTGGGGTGATTGCGTTGCGTCAAAGTCAATTCATCACTTGTAACAAATGTAGCACTCTGGTGTGGGATGTTGATAAAGGGAGACGCAGGTGTATAGGGAAATCTCTGTATCTTCTGTTCAATATTACTGTGAACTTAAAAATTCTCTAAAAACACTTTAGTTTTTAGTTTTAAAGGACTTTACCTTTAAAAAATGGATTATTCTATACTCATGTATAGAATACTCTATTACCAATTCTATTACACAAATAACCAGCAATAATTTATATTGTATTTGAAACTGTGTCAGAGAGCTTAACATTGGGATTTCTTTAACTCCCTATAAGGTATCTAAATATTAATATAGATTTATGGTCGGAGAATCCAAGTTCAAGTTCCTGCCCAGCCACTTACTAGCTCATGGGAGTTTGGTTTTCTCCTGAGTACATGTCATATTACATGTGTCTTTTGAAGACTACAGTGTACATATTCTAACCTATATGAGCAATTATTTGAAGCCTAAAGTATACTGGTATTTTGTATTAGGATTATGATCATGGCAATATTTTTAAACCTGACTTAATGAAAATCTGCAAAGTTGTGAAATGTGAGTCTGTGACCTTTCGTTTTTGAGCAAAATTTTAAAAGGCAGAGCAGACTGTATACTCTGGATTCCTGGTCAGAACCCCCCACTGGTCAGTGCGGGATGTTCTTCAGCCAAGGAGCCCAGAGTCTATGCACTCAAGACTCAGGTGGAATCTTCGAGAAGGAAAAAGATCACCCTGGAAAATCATTTGTTGAGAAAGATCAAGAAACTTAATCGTGTGTGTGTGTGTGTGTGTGTGTGTGTGTGTGTGTGTGATGAGAACATTAAGATCTACCCTGTTATCAACTTGCATGTAGATAATACAGTGTTGTTAACTATTGTCCCCATGCTGTGTGTTAGATTTCCAGAACTTACTCATCTTACCCTTTGACTCCTGGTGAGGGAGATGCTATCTGACCTTAATTTGGTCATCATTTCACAATGTACACATGTATCAAAAGATCACATTGTATACCTTAAAGTTACACAACGTTATGTGCCAATTCTATTCAGTAATAAAGTGGGAACAAGAACCTCTTGACCACATTACACAGTGGGTAAGATTGTAGGCTCTAGGATCTGGCTTGCATATGCAACAGTTGTGGGAAATTGCATAAACGGTTTAACCTCCACGTGCCTCATTTTTCTCCTCTGTCTGATTAAGATTACGGTAGTATAACCGATTATAGCTCAAAAACGGTTATTGTAAAGAAAAACGTGGTACTATCGACATATAATGAGATTAAGTATAAGACGTAAGTAACAAATTAAATTTTATAGCTAAGTATACAACTAGTTACTTGGCATACAGTAAATTTTAGTAAATATTAGCCATTTTTTTTAATGTTTAATTATTTTTGAGACCAAGAGAAAGAGAGAGTGGAGCGGGGGCAGACGGCAGAGGGCGGCAGGGAGCCCGAGGTGCGGCTCTAACTCCCAAGCTGAAGCTGGACCCTTAACCAACTGAGCCACTTAGGCGCCGTGATGTGAGCCGTTTCAGTCCAGGCTAGAGGTGATGGTGACTTGGGTAGTGGTGTCACTGTTGGAGCTGGAGGTGGAAGGAGGCATTTGGATACGATGCGTGAACACTGACAGGATGTACTTTGGGATTAGGCGTTGGGCACTAGTGAAAGGTAAGACTGGTGGAGATTCCTGAGTTTGGGTTTGAGCAGCAGACAAGAAGATGGTGCGGTTCATGCAGACGGGGAAAGCTAGGAGAGCAGACTTCGAGTGCAAATCCCACGCCTTCCCTGATCGGAGAGAGGAGAAATGGGAGAGGAGTAAGAGTTGCTGTCTTTTCCAGACAGGGTGACAGATGAGCGGTCATGCTGTTACAGAGACGGGGACCCTGTGCGGATGGGCAGTTTTCAGTGGTGAGGAGAAGGTGGCATTCTGGGCATGTTAGATTAGGTATCTTTACGGTACCTCCAGATAGGTATTTTCATCAAACAGTTAAAACTGCAGGCAGATTAGAGTGAAAATGCCCAGTTTCCCACCATCACTGGATGGTGATGCTAAGGTGGGTTTATGCCAATGCCTCTCTGTGAAAGCCTGATCAGTGCAAAATACACCTCTTTCTTCTAAAAGATGTGGACTTGGGCTCCAGCCGTGTGGTGACATTCAGGGTGCTTCACAGGGATTTCAAATCTATGTTTATCAAGAGTTACGGATCAAAAAAAAGTTGACACTGGACTGCAAAAAAAACCCAGCTAATTCGAAAACAGAAAATTATGTAAAGCGCCACTTAAATGAGGAAATGCTAGTAAAATAAATGTTGAAATAGTAGAGTATTTATAGTAATTATCGAGACTGTTTAACTGGAACTTTCCATCTGAAAGTTTTAATAATTCTAAATTTCGTAATGTTTATTTATTTTTGAGAGAGAGAGAGAGACAAAGAGGGAGAGACAGAATCCGAAGCAGGCTCCAAGCTCTGAGCTGTCAACACAGAGCCTGACATGTGGCTCGAACTCACAAACCGTGAGATCATGACCTGAGCTGAAGTTGGATGCTTAACCAACTGAGCCACCCAGGCGCCCCAAAAGTTCTAATAATTCTAAAGAAAGATTTGTTTATTTTTACTAACAAGAGAACCATAAAAAATACTGACATTTGCAATGAGGAAGACAAGAGAAGGTCGACCATCAGAGGCTCAGTGTCCTGCTCTTCCTGAAAACACCACCCCAGAGGTCAGATTGTGTTAATTTGTCCAAGCTCCGAATAGGTAGCCATCAAGGCAAATGAGCAGTTACAAATACACATTCATCATATTTTTATCCTGACATACACTTTTGCTTCTGCAAAATCAAAGACTGAACCATCACTTCCCTTGGCTTTTTCCCTCTGTAGAATTGTGAATCCTTTGTTTTTGGAGAGCTGTAAACTTCTCAGTTCCCTCTGATGGTCTGGTTAAATAAAGCGAGATCTCTTTATGTAACAGGTCGACATTTTTAAAATCTTTGTTTTCCTTTGAGTAATTCATGGTCAGTGCATATATTGGATCTCCAGAATTTGGAAAAAAAAATCTTCATTTTCAAGGTAACTTAAAATAGACTAATATGGATTTCCAAATTGTTCTATTTGTTAATTATTAAACCCTGTAAACTTGTGCTTGGCCAGTTATTTTGATATGTCCTAAAATCTGCTATAGTGCTCAATAGCAATAAATCAAAATAATCAAATGAGTGATATGTTTCCAATCTTAGTGAGGAGCTTTATGAAAAATAGCTAAGGGCCAAATTATTTCTTCCCCAACTTTAACTTTGTGCTATGATCTATCTAGAATATACATATTATAAAGCTTATGAGTATTAATGGTCCCATTTAGACTTTTGATATGTTTACTGTGAGAGAAATCTTGCTGCATAAATCAATTTTTGTATGAAACTGCTATAAAATGGTATATACTTTCTTTTACTTCTTCATAGAAAGAAATTTGAAATTCAAATCACTAGCTGCTGAAGGAAGTTATTAAAAATGCATTAGGGATGGAAAAGTAGCTGTATATAATTGTCATAACAGATATTCAAAACAAATTTATCCTCAATGAAAACTGAACTAAGGCAATTTACATAGAATCAGCTAATAAATTTTCCTTAATTTTCTAAGCAGATGAAAAAGAAACAGTTCATAGAAATTTTAATAAAATAAATAGGAGTGCTGTCTGTAGGGAGGAAAGTATAAATAAAATCCTGAGAAAGATGAATGAAGACAGAACTGTGTGAATTTCCAGCGATGAGGACTACGTGATACCAGAAAAATCAATGTCTGTATTGGGACCAATCTTATTTCCAAATCCCTTACAACTTGACACTGAAAACATCATTTTGTTCAATATGCTTTACTCTTGTTTTGAGTTGTCATTATTTATCTTTATGTAAAGCAAACATCTAAAAACTTGGGGAAAAGATGAAGACATCCTGGTGAAAAATAACCACCTGGAAATATAATGTATCCTTAAAG